CAAGGACATAGTCAATTTTCTCATGCCCAGAACATTCTCATATTGTAGTGTCAATCAAGAAAATCTGGTTTGATTGGTATCCAGTATGCCTCTTAAATATACATGGTTACTCATGATTCAATAAATATAAATGACGAAATGTAAAAAATAATATATAAAATACATCAATTAATTTAACATGGATTTTTATTAAATTAATTATGCTTCCTTTGTTTAACTCAAATTTATGATCTTCTCGCATAAATTTATGGAATCTATACTTGACTTCCAGTGCGCTGGAATTCCATTTGTTATATCAAGGCATATAGTGTACTCAACAAGCCTTAATAAAACATTTGAATAGATACGATTATCAATTGTATCTCCATACAACTCTCAGATTATTAAGTTGACAACTTCATGTCTTCACACATCTTAGGTGTTAGCTTAACATGCTTCTAAAATTCATCTCCTTGAGTGTGCTCAACAAAAGGTAAATTTTAGTTAAGTCAAACCCATTATTCAAAAATATCTAATATTTATAGTGTCAACCATATTCATAGTAGACCGGCCTTGAGTGTACTCAACAAGATGAGATCGATTGAGGACTCTAGTTATTCACTATGATGATGGAAGGCAAATGTAAAATATGATTTAATATTTTATTGCGGGTTTTTGCATTCAAATGTCTCGTCGTAACAATCATAGATATATTTTATTATACATCTGCCATGCAAATAAACATATATATAATATACTATAGTAGTGTGGATGATTATAAACTTTTACTATCTAGTCTTTTCGAGGCATAAGGAAGATTAGTCGGTCAATTCCTATGGGCTATTACATTGATCTGTATCAATACACCATCTCCATGATTTTCTCCACTTCTCGCATCTTCAATCAGTCCAGCTATAACATATATTCTATACTAGTTAGCACGCATGCCTAAATGAAATTGGAATTGCAAGCCCATAGTAACAAAACAACAACGGAGTCGCAGGTCCAAAATGATTAAGAGCTCATAGATCCATAATAATAACAATAATAGTAGACTCCCAACTCATATAACGATAAGAATAAAATTAATCATTCAACACATCCACATGGTCTAGTCCATAAGCATCCACTTATAATACATTCATCACATAAATACATTCATATATATAATATCTAATATTATATGCAAACATATTTCAAATTTCTAACAATTAAGGTCGTCTAAACTATTTTAGACAAATGGATCGAAACAATTAAATAATCAATTAATCATATTAATTAATTAATTTAATTAGTGGGCATGATTATTTAATTAAAATCAAATTTTAATTAAATAACGAATTAGAGCCCAACTCTAATTTCACAATTATAGGGGCATGATTATTTAATTAAAATCAAATTTTAATTAAATATCAAATTAGAGTCCAACTCTAATTACAAAACTTAATGTGGTTGAATTTAATCAAAATCAAATTTCAATTATATAAAAAAAAAAATAGAGTCCAAATCTAATTCCAAGATTTAGTGCGAATTTATTTAATTAAAATTAAATTGTAATTAAATATCAAATTAGAGTTCAACTCTATTTTGATCGAATTTTAGGGCGAGACAATTTAATTCAATAAAATTCTAATTAAATGTCAAATTAGAATCTAATTCTGATTTCAAGAACATATTAGGGTGAGTAATTAATTAAAATCAAATTTTAATTAAATGCTAATTTAAATTGAATTAACATTTTAATTTAGGATAATACTCCAATAAAATAAAATTCAATTTAGGGTGAAATTTTAATATTTAAGTCAAAATCTAATTTAAATGAAAATACATAAAAGTCGTCAACTTTAAATAATATTTTTAATTTGGTCAAAATTGATAATATAGGTCAAAACCCATTTAAAATCAAATTTAAAACCATTTAAATGCTTAAATTTAGAATTCATTTTGAAATTTGCAATTTGACCCACTTAAAATTATTAACAAGCATTGCAGAGCAGCCGTTTAATTTAAAATTGCAAAATGACCCCCTTTTTACATAATTGTAGGCGAGGGCTTGCAATTTCACAAATTGCAAATCATGTCTCCGCCTCCATTCGTCTCCCCCGAATGAAAATTCTAAAGAATTTCACCCATTTTCTCTTTGTGGCGCTGGTGATGACCGACACGACATCTGGTGATATGCGGTGCGCCTTAGGCTACTGCTGCGACAGCATTAAATGCTATCACCACGGCTGCTTTAACGCTGCTTTATGTAGCCGGCGTCGAAACCTTCAACAACTGTGATCGTCATCATTGCTTCGTGTAGCAACATTCATCGCCATTTCATGCTCCAAGCTACGCTCGGCAGCCATGAAGCGATGAACCATGTGCCACCTCCGCACTCGTCGGCGATAGTTTTGCTATCGGCTTCAACCTACCCTGTTATTATACCCAAAAATATATATATTTTTTTCAAATTAGATTTCAAAAAAAAATGAAATCAAATTTCATTAATTGCTAGAAACTAGAAAAATGTATAACAATCAACTTTTGATTGCACAAAAATGTTAAACGATTTCTAACAAATACAAAGTAGGCTCTGATACTACTATTGGAGATTTACTTAATCATGCACAGCGAAAAATAAAACAATTTTAATTTTCACCAAGGATTTGCTTTGTATTTAGATAGAAACTGTGATAGAAATTGTACATTTCTTTAATTTTGCAAACTTCTTTGCAACTCTTTTGTTCTAACAATCATGATCTGTCACCCATAGGTGTCTAATTGTCCAACTTTCAATGAAAATCCACACAGGAAACAAGATTGTGAGAAAATCAGGATTTATGTTCTTGTCCTAGCAAGAAAAATGAAAATTTACAAATTATAAACCCTGACTACTTTTTTATATAAACCCAAACAGGCTTGACTTGGCTACTAACCCGGTCTAATATTTAATTAAATTCTGTCCGTGAAATAATAATCCAAATAATGAATTTGGGCCAACAAATAAGCAACTCAATTAATTAATTTATCCAACTCTTATTAAATTAACTAATTTGTAAATCTTAATTTTCTAGTTCTCCTTTTGTATGTGACACATTAGGTTCCAATCATGATACCTAACAATATGAATTATCATTTTGATCTAATCAAAATTGATAAATTAAAACATCCCTTCTAAATTATCACCAATTCACATTCGCCGTTCCAAATTGACATCTAGCAATGTGTCAGGATAATACATGTGATAAGAAATGTCACGTGGTATGGTAAAATCAAATTTGTTCGTTTACCGTGAAACTATAATCCTTTCGTCAATATGATCCGATCAATTGTGAAATATGAAAATGTGTCAATCTTGATTGTCGATCATATTTTTCATTCCACTATCAAGTCAATATAAGTCGAAAATTCTTTTTCGACTTAGAGTACACCTTGGCCAAAGATTTCGTTATCAATTTAACTGAATAAAATGTGGATCATAATCTTTTACTATCTAAGAATGACGAATCCTCTTTTAATCATTCACAACCTTCATATGAATCTTAACATACCCGAACGATACTGTAATAGCGGCCCTTGACAAAGTAACATCAAACATCGCCAAAGTATGTTTGTCCTCATATAAGGCACTATGATGACCTCAAGTCAAAGGATCAATTTCATTACCGAATGTTAGAGACCATCCACTGGCACTCAGATAGTTATTCATGTGAAATCTTCCAACAGGTCTCCAATGTTTTGTTCTATAACACGACATCTACATGTTCATTTAAGAGTCATCACACCTCAGCTAGTGAGATCAGTTATTTACTTCACAAGTAAGAAATGTCACGCGTGATGGTTTATCCATAATAACGATATCCATATCTTGTTATTATTTACGATCACAAGTAATTGAAGATTTAATCATATGTAATTTGTATCTCACAATCACAATTCCTTGTAATTAACAAATTATCAAGATTTGAATCTATGGACTCTATTATTTAATTTAATTAAATATTAATTAAATAATAGATCTGTCACAAATTGCATCCACTATATACTAAAAGTGTTTATGTCCAAAGTTGATTGGGCCTTGTGCATAACACTTATAGGGGCTATAGATGGTTAGGTAAAATGGAAGAAATGAAAGAGGGTCATTCCTTTTATTCAACAATTGACCAAAAGAAAATATTAACAAATAATAAATTACACGAGTTTAGATCAATCAAATAATGATATTTCTATGCATATACAATAATTCGCCCTAATTAATTTGATCATTTGGATTGCACTGGGGTGGAATAATGATAAAGAAAGTGGAAGGGAGAAAAGAATTTACAAAAAAGGAATTCTTGAAGAATAGTTCAATTATTGATTCGAAGAGGGAAGTCGAACTAGATATATGTATTTGAATGGTTCTAAGCCAATCCTTGTAGATGTTTCGACGATTGATTCTCTATGAAGAGTCGTCACTTATGGCCTCTTGTACTTGCAGCAAGTCTCTTTAAAGAAAGAAACAATTACATTGCCTCTTTGGTATTACTAATGCCTCCCCACCCAATATAACCAAAAGAAAAATGATAATATAACTATTTTTCTCTCTACTACAATATTCTACAAACCAAAAGAAAAGACGATATTACTAATGTCTCCCCACCCAATATACAAATGGCTCAGTCGACCAGCAATGAGCCGTTCAAAAATTCTTCTGGTAAAAATCTAGCTTCTAAGCCAGCCAATGAGTTGTGGCTTGTAATCAGTGCCATGACATTGCCTCTTTTAATTGTAGTTAGATATCCACAACAATTTACTCTTCGTCATTTTAAAGATGCAAATAATTATTAGTCATGCTAACAAGTAGATATTTAGCCTGAGCCCAAATTATATAAAAAATAAATTTTCTCCAAATTCTTTTCAGTTAGGCATTCTTAAATAAAATATTTTTTTATGTAAATTTAAAACATTTTTTTAACTTTTTTTTTTTCCAAAAAATCCCTATTGTAAAATTCATTTTTTAAAAAAATGGAGCACAAAAACACATGGAACATTCTAATCCTCAAATGGAACAGAAGAGTCTCGATGTTCCAAACGCCTCCTTAAACATGACATGGCTAATTGGATAGGCAATTGCATGTCAGATAGATAAGCCACTGACTGACGAATTTCAAACAAAAATAGACAGGAAAAATGGCGTCACTCTCTATTCCTCTGTCGCCGAAGGTGTTCTCCGGTCTACAACTTCCGGCCAAATGTGTTCGTCCCACTCCTCGGGAACTCCAATCTCCCTTCAAAATCAGGTGTTCCTGTAAGAATTCCATTAATTTCACGATTTTCTTAAACAATTTTAAGATAATTTTGCTGTAACCGATTTTTGTTTCGATTATATATTTGATGCGTGTTCGTGGTGGGTTCAGCGATAGAGGATGGTTTCAAATCTGTTGAAAGTTTTACTCAATTTGAGGAGCTCAGGAGTGTCGCTTGTGGCGTTCTTGCTGTTTGGGCTTTGACTGCTGCCTCGCCTGTAATTGCGGCTAATCAGGTCTAAATTCAAGAGTCTTTTTCTTGGTCAAGTTTTGCACTTTTATTTTGATTTTACAATTGATAGAAAAATGTTTGGGAATAGAATTAATGCTTCTTGTCATTACTGACCATAAATGTTAAATTCTTGTTTCTCAAATGATCTAGCTACAACAACAAACATTTAAATGTGTATTAGGATTTATGTGTGCTTGAAAGTTAATCTATTACGACTCTCTTCCTGTATCCTTAACGCTGGCCTGAGACGGATTATGTAAAATATGGTCTGAGTTTCTAAAATAATTGCCATTTGAGATAATTAGTGGTGGAATAAATTGAAATGTGTTGGCGTTTGATTTGCAGAGGCTGCCGCCTTTGTCGACAGAGCCAAATAGGTGTGAACGTGCATTTGTGGGCAATACAATAGGTCAAGCAAATGGAGTCTATGACAAACCACTTGATCTTCGTTTTTGTGATTACACCAATGAGAAATCCAACCTTAAGGGGAAGTCTCTCGCTGCAGCACTCATGTCGGATGCAAAGTTTGATGGTGCAGATATGACTGAGGTGGTGATGTCAAAGGCATATGCTGTTGGAGCCAGTTTTAAGGGTAAGATGGTTTACCCTTTCACTTCATTTGGATATCATTAGCTAACTCTTCCTCTATGCAAATTTGTTCTTGCAACCTTATTTCGAGTAATTCAGAAATTTTGCAAGAGAGGGACAAATGACAGTCTTCTTCATGAAGTTTAGAGCCAATCAACTCAAAATTGAATGCAGTACTTCTTATATGACAGGAACATGAATTGTGTAAGTTACGGATCATCAAAAGACTGCTCAATTTGATACTCATATAGTGTTTTTTATTTTTCAAAATTTCTCTCATACTCGTAGGGAAAAAACTAAATAAATAAAAAAATCTGACTTTCTCTAGGAATTTAATAGGATGCTTTAATTCATTTTTAGAGGCACGTGATTCTATTCTTTCTCTGTTGTTTAGTAGACTACACATATTACAATATATTGCTATTGAAATAATAAAATTGTTTAGTTATAACAAATTTAAGCTGTTTAGTACATCATTTTGTCTCCTAATGCCTCAAAGTTACACATCTTTAAAATTTTCCACCTTCCATTTGTATATACTTATCCACAATCAAATTTAATATTAAGAAAGTTTTATGCCATAAATTTTCATCACTGTTACTTGATTCCACAAACCCCTGCGGTTATCATGTTTCTATGAGATAATATATCTGTTTTGCTGTTGTTGGACTTCGCAGAGCCTTCTGTATATAGGAAAGGGTAACCATAGTACCTGCCATATAGAGGATTTTAGTTTGATTTTTGAGGGCACGAGCGAGAAGTGCAAATTTGTACTTTTCTGTTATATTGAAACCAACAATGATAACTTGACGCAACTCTCACACTAGAGTGAACTATCTTGAATCTATATCTCCACTTTGATTATCTTTTGATTCTTATTTCTATTGTAAGGAGTGATTAAGGCTTAGGTCCCTGACAATTGTAGAAGTGCAAATTTGTACATATGACCGTTCTTAAAGTGAAGAGTTGCCATAATGACTTCCAGGCACAGACTTCTCGAATGCAGTTTTGGATCGAGTGAATTTTGCGAAGGCAAACCTCCAAGGAGCCATGTTTAAAAACACGGTGCTATCTGGATCTACATTCGAGGAAGCTCAACTTCAAGATGCAGGCTTTGAGGACACCATCATAGGTTACATTGATCTTCAGAAGCTTTGTACTAATAAGACTATCAACGACGAAGGAAGAGTTAACTTGGGATGCCGATAACGTTGTGGCAATTGCTTGGTATTTCTTTCTTTTCATTATTTAGTATACTGTAATATATAGAGTGAGTTGTACTTTTCCATTTTGACTAAACTTCCGAAACTTATTCTGATTTCTACGGCCATAAATGCATTGTATTCACTTTTTACATAGCATGATACCCCCATGGAATTCTTATAATTATAATTTCTCGTAACTAATAGTTTTCAGTAATTTTTGTTGTTCGTATAGATGCTCTAAATCTATCTCTACTATATGATTTCTTGTGCATGATGAGCCTACTATTAATAGAAATAGAGGCATAGCATGTTCTCGACTGAGGTGGAGTAGCGATGGATGATGATAATTGATTCACTCTCTCGCACTGGAGGGATTAGTCTAGTGTCATGATTTTAATGGGAATTTAAGGAGATCAGTCTGGTCGGAACTTTCTTGTGGCCCTACTCGACTCGAGAAGAACTTTCATGGGTCACCTAGAGGGAGTCGTTGTCCAACCGAGAAATGGTTGATTAGACCGACTTTTCGTGTATGAAGTGACAGACGTCTACCCACCTGCTCAAATTAATTGGTGAAATTATCTGTCCCTCCTCATTTGACGTATACTCACTATGTAGTATGATGTTTTAAACATTAAATCCACTATGTTCTTCACGTGAAAAGATGTCTGTGTACTATTACGCCTCTTTTGACGAGGCTCCAAGAATCTGTTGTGTGACTATCAGCTAGCAAGGCCAATCAGGTGCACACCACATTACTATCCTACTTGGCTTAGTCGAGGTTATATATTGAGGTAGCCAAAGATATGCATCACCTCAGTCGAGATGTTATTTAAAGGCCGACTATTCATGGCCTAGATGAGGTGCTATAACATGCTGTAGAATAAATTCAAAGCAATTAGCTGTTTAATGAGAAAAGGCATCTCCTACTCCACCTATTACAAGAGATCTTCAGTGCAAGATTTTTTATATGATTGATTGATGTAATACATCTTTGCAGTAGACGTCTCATAATTAACCTGTTGGTCTACTTTTCAAAAATCGAACATATATTATATGGTGATTACTTTTTTGAATGCCCCTTAACTTAGGATTGACGGAGTGACACCTACGAGAAGATGCACTTTCATCAGAATGAGGATCATTCCTCATTTTCTACTATAAAAACTCACATTTAATGCTATTAGAAGGTGATGCAATTTTACACATTCAAATATTATTGCTCTCTCTCATTTTATTCTTCGTATACCCACGATGCCTGAATAGTATTGTAGTTCACATCTTTTGTATGTCCCATACACAAATATAATCGTACAAGTTGACTAACTTAATCATCAAAATGCTCGTAGCCGCTCCCTCACCATCGTAGAAGGTCATATACTCCTAACGATTTGTCCAAGTATGTAGGAGATAAACTACGTGAATATGAGAGGAGTTGGGATCTATTGATCACATCACTCATACAGAAATCGAGGTCAACACAGTAAATATTGAAACAGGGTGATTAAAATACATCATACAATTATATTTTATTTACTATTCGTGTATAGCCACGTTGTCAACTATAGACCACGTTATCAACTACCCTTCATTCAAGTTTTTTTTTTTTTTTTTCCCCAAGATAACAACTGTATAAATAGTATTACTATTACTATTAAAAAAATTAATTTAACAAACCACGACAAGTAGCCATTCTGTTGGTCTTAGAATCTGAATGGCAGGTCTGTCGACAACTAAAATTCCTTGGTGTGCTTCCCTCAACTGACTTTCCAAGACTCACTATTCCATTTTCCCTTTCCTACTACAAATTTAAAAAATGAATTCATTTAGCCTTCATTTTTACAAAAACTCTTTTTCAACCATACATTTTTCTATAAAATAATAATACACTTAAATCAGAAAATATTTCTTATTTTTAAATCACACAATCTCCAACAAAACACTACTCAAAAATAAATGTATTTTAACCCAAAAGTGGAGCTCAAACAAGGAATTTAATCGATTTGAGATTCAACAAACTTGATCGACTACATTATCAAATCTTTTCAATTACAAAATATATGTCATGCTAGCTTTTGACAATAACTAATACTCTAGTTAGAAAGTTAATGGAAAATTTATCTCTCGGTATTTTTATTTATTTTTTTTTTTTGGGGGGGGGGGGGGGGGGGGTGGAAGAAAAGGGTATTAATAGCAGATAATACTTGAAAAATGAGATATATGGGAATGGATTAAAAGAAAATTGATGGATGGTTGAAAGCAAGTTAGAGGGGATAATTGTACCAAACCCTAGTCAATCGGGTTGGTGGGATGACAGTTGGGCATCCCACTTTCTGCTCATTCATTCTCTAGTATTTATATCAATGTTGGCCTTATCTTCTCAGGATCAGACTCCCATGTCCAACACCATGTAATATATGGAGAGACAGAGAGAGTGAAAGGGGGAGACATGGCTTCTTCCATGTAATCTTTCTTGCTCAAATGAGTATTCCAACAGCAGCAAGCACTTGTGCATTTCAAAACATTAATTTCTTCGCACAGATTTGTGTTTTATGAGATGCTGGTGTTGGTGCTTCTGCGATGCTCATTTGGGCAAGCAATATTACACTGGAGGGTTAATTATTCAACATAGTTCTCAATCCTCAAGAGCTGTCACCACTCACCAGATGAGTATTCATTTTTCAACTTATCCATTTAATGTTCCTTCCAAATTCAGGCGAATCATTGAAAAAAGGGAAAAGAAAAAAGGATGAGGGTATAAACACTTCTATGGCGGAAAACATACTTTGAATCATCATCTTTTGCATATATTGATCAAGATACATCTCAAATTTTGAACTTTTTTTTTTTTTTTTTGAGTCCTATTTATTTAGTTCCAATCTAATATAAGCCTATGTTTGGTATGGATTAAAATCAATTTTTTAGTAAATTTTGATAAAAGTTAATGAAATGTGTGATTGAAAAGTTGTGGATTAGATTAAAATGAATTAGATTAAAATTTAAATTTAATTTCCTAATTCTTTGCTTGATAGCCAATCAATATATATAAATGGGTAAATGTTAGTGTCTAACCTCTCGAGTTTCTACTAGAATTCGCTCGATGTTTTTCGCCGACACGAAGATTTACAAGTTTGCACTATTAGATAAAGCACAACTATGACATTTTTCCCAGTGATCTTCACAAGTTGATGTGATTAATAATTAATTCCATGTTTTCATCGACTTGTATTGTACAGATAGATAATCATACTGCGTACATGTTTTGTTAATTAAGAGCTTGTTTGACAATCTTTATTGTAGCAAAAAAAAAAAAAAAAAAAAAAAGAAAAAAAATTTTTAAAAAAAAAAAAAAAAAAAAAATTAAAAAGGGAAAAAAAAAAAAAAAAAAAAAAAAAAAGGAAAAAAAGTTTTGAATAGTGTTTTTTAGAAAAATATGTGGTTAAAAAATAGGAAAATGTTTTTAATTACACGTGTAAAATATTTTATTATGTGAATGTGTGTTTGAAAATAATCATGTAGCAAACCATAAATAAATTAAGGTGTAGAAATAAATTTGTAGTTCCTTTGTTAACTGGACTGAACAACAATTGAAAAATATTGCAATAAAAAAATTAAAGGGTAATTAGTACACAAAGTCCCTACATTTCAATGTTATTATGCAAAATGTACATACCTTTCATTTTTTTAAATTTTTGCCGTTATTTCAATATTTCATTGCAGAAAACGTCTTTCTCACCATTTTTTAATGTAAAATGACCAATATACCCTTTCATTTAAATAATACAAAAAAAATAATAAATTGCAATCTTACTCCTAAATATTTTAAAAAGTGCAAGTGAATCCAAATAATTATTAAAAGATTTAATAGCACAAAAAGTCTCTACGCTTGGCCTATAGTGTGTAAAATGTCTTTATGTTTCAAATTGGTGAAAATGACGTTTTTCGCAATGAAACATAGAAATGAGAATGAAAACGCAAAAAAATTGAAACGTATAGACGTTTTCCGCAAGAAATGTCAAATGTTGGGATTTTTTTGCTATTAGGCCTTACTAAAATATTAAAAATAACGAAAACTCTCTCTCTCCAAATGGGATTTCCACGTTATAAGTGGAAAAACTCCGACCAACCATCACCCAAGCAGCCGAACCTCCATACCGTCGAAATATCTGTTGATATTTTAAGATCATGAAGAGAGGCGCCCTAGTGAGTATAGTCAATTGATGTGTTGGAAATGATATGGGTCTCTCCGAAACAGGTGATGTTGCTAGTATTTGCAATCGCGAGTTGGGTATTTTGGCTTGCAATTCCGAATAAATCAATTGGCATGAAGGTTCCAAGGTTGAATGTTGGGTGGTATGTGTAGAGAGAAGTGGGATTTTTCGACGGTATGGTAGTCCAGCAATTTGAATGGTGGTTTGCTTGCTTTTTTTGACTTCTAAGGTAACTGGCTCATTTGGAGAAGAAGATGTGTGTGAGAGAGAGAGAGAGAGAGATTTTTTTGTAATTTTTAATATTTTAATAAGGTTTAATAGCAAAAGAAAATCCCTATGTTTGACACTTATTGAGAAAAAATCCTTACATTTCAATTTTTTTGCGTTTTCATCCCTCTTTCCACGTTTCATTGCGAAAAACATTATTTTCACCAATTTGAAAGGTAGGAACGTTTTGCACACTATAAACCAAATATAGGGACGTTTCTGCTATTAGGTCTTTTAATAATTATTTGAAATCACTTGTACTTTTTAAAACATTTAGGAGTAATATTACTATTTATTCTTTATTTTTCTTTTCTTTTCTTTTCTTTTTGTTTTATTTAAATGAGAGGGTATTTTGATCATTTTATATTAAAATTGTGAAAATGACGTTTTCTATAATGAGACATTGAAATAAGGGCGAACATGTCAAAAAAATAAAAAGTATGGACGTTTTACACAATAATATTGAAAGGTAGGGACCTTTTGTGCTAATTGCCCAAAAATTAAAATGTGATAGTTACATGAAGTTGTGATGGTTTAGTATTTTCATTATTCATGTTGATGGTTTGTATATCTTATATTTCAAAAAGCTATTTAGCGCCTGTTTGATAAAATTTTGAAATGGTCGGGAATCAATTTTAAGTACACATTATATGAGATTAACAATTTTTATCATCTTTTTAATCACACATTTCGTTAACTTTTATAAAAGCATGCTAAAACTT